TCTTTTTGATACAATAGCTGAAGGAACTATAGATTGATGTCATCTCTGTGAAGAAAAAGGTTCGCGAATTCTCCTACGTAGTAGTAGTAGTAGCAGCGTGAAAGTGTGGGTAGAATGAATGTGGTAAAAGATCGAGAAAGAGAAAAATGAGTTGGGTCATAATAGCAATTAAATAAGGAGATGGAATTGAAAGATGAAAATAAAATGAGGCAAGGACATTTTAGTTCAATTTTTAAAAATAGGATCTATTTATACAAATGTCATAGTTTAGGGATATTTTTTGCATGAGAGGGGTGCAATATGCACTATAAACATACTATAAGGGTGTTTTTTGCACTTAACACACACAAATACATATAGGTAGAGTGTGAAGAAGTTTAGCGTGAGAGTGAGATGCTGGTCCTTCTAACATAATATTAGTAAAAATGCATGATTAGTACAATAGTACTTTTTTACTCAACAAAACAAAAGAATTTACATAAAAAAATGGAAATTAATATTTTGATTATTTTGTGATATTCCAAGTCCATGTAAACCAACCAAAATTGGTATAAATGCTACTAGCGCCATCAATTGCTTGCTCAACTTGTCCGTTTCAACTTTTAAGTTTGCATTTCATCAAACCTGTTCTTATTTGCAAACATTTCATAATATTTTAAGTTGGCAGCCCAGCCCGGCTAATTGATGTCTACTAATTCTGTGAATTACAAAATATTAAATAGTCTGTAATCAAGGTAAGACATCATTATTGAACTTAACTTTATTACTACATTTTTTATTTTTATTTTTATTTTATTTTATTTATTTAAGAAATGGTTACCATTGTATTGTAAGTTGAGGACACCAAAATGACCTGGGCTTGGTATGATCCGTATTGCAAAAGACGGCTCGGGTATGGATAGACAAGATGGAGCAAGTTCACGCTGGATGGGCCTAGATCCATAAAGTTATTGCAGAAGCCCATATTAAAATGAGAGAAGTTGAGTCCAGGCAAAAGGGAGTAGATAAGGCCTAGGCCAGAGGAGGTTGTAATCGTCTATAAATAAGGGAAATCGAGAGGGAAAAGGGGTTAAAAAAAAAGATTGGGAGTGAAAAATTTCTCTCTCTGTAATTGGGGGAAATTCTTTGTACTTTCAATTAGCGCCGTCTGTGGGAAGAACAAGAAGGATTGATTGATGTTGTTCTAGATCGATTCAATTCAAAGCACTCTGCGAAGAAGACGATTAATTTGCAAAAGCTGAATCAACATTGGCAATAATATGATTTGTCTCAATGAGTCCAGGCTCCGGTTGATTTCGCGAAGTAGGCGTCCGATCCAAACAGATCAGATCTGTACTTGATCCGGCGAACTGCACAATTGCGATCTGTTGTGATTACTGAATCCGGCCAGTAGCGGACTAAATTCAGCAAGTGTGAGTTCAGATCTGGTGTGTGCGCGTTAGCGGAACTCCGATCTGGTTAAGAAATCTGCAGTTGATGACTTTGCTTCGATCCGGAATGATGATCGGAGAGGCGAACTCAAATCCTTTGGAGAACGGCCAACAGACGAAGATCGATGAGCTGATGAACATGATCGATGCTTTGAGGAAAGAAAATACAGAGCTACGAGTTGGAATGGAGCGTCGTGAGGCTCCTGTAATTCCGAGGCCACCTCATGAGGGAGAGGGAGCTTTACCGTCCCAAGCTGATCATTAAGGTGATCTAGAAGGTGTTAATCATGTTGATCCACGTCGTGATGAAGTTATAATCGGTGATCTGCCTCCGAATGTCCGTCGAGTAGAGGATCGAGAAGGATCTATTCATCTTGAACCACATCGTGAACGGATTATGAGGGAGGAAGCACCGACATATGAACATAGGGTTGCGTCACCATGGTGAAGTGAGTTTGCGGAGGACAAGTCATTCGATCCGCCTTACCGACCTTCATTAGCAACATTTGATTACCACAGTTCAGAAAGGAGATCTGTTGATCGGGGGTTTCCGTCATGGTTTTCAAGGGAAAACGAAGTGTTGCGCTCATCAGCAAGAACGCTTGTATCTCCGTTCACTGATGAAATTCTGAATGCGCCGAATCCGAAGAAGTTCTCCATGCCAGTTTTCATTCTGTTTGACGGAACAACCGATCCGGTCGATCATATCTACCATATTCAGTTGAAAATGGCTCTGAATACTAACAATGATCCTTTGATGTGCAAATGCTTCCTTACGAGCTTGGCTGGACCAGCTCTCAATTGGTTTAAGAATCTGGCTCAGGGCTCAATCGCCAGTACTACGGGAATAAACGTCCGGCTAAGGATGTATCAAACCTTTTCACAATGAAGCAGCATGAGGATGAACGGCTCCAAGCTTTTCTCACCCGGTTTAACCTCGTTAAAAGTATGGTTATGGAGTGTCATCTGTCCACAGTAGTCCAAACATTTAAACTCGCAATGACTCGGGGGACGCCGTTCCACATTAGCTTGGTGGTTAATACACCAAAGACCATGGACGAGCTGAACGAGAGAGCTGACGGTTTTGTTCGTCTTGAGGAGGAAGAGGCAGCTAATTCGAGGAAGACGTCAATTATTTCGACGGAAGAGAAGTCCAAAGCCAAGATTCGGCAAAAACAAGCTCAGTCCCAACGTCACACCTTATGGAAAGCTGAGAAAAGGCCAGGGAGGAGGAATCAGTAACTTCACTCAGAGTCACCTTAGCAAGGCTATACCAAGAGAACAAAGATAAGTTTCGTCCTCCTTTGCCAATCAGGCAACCTCTTGAACAGAGGGATCAAACTAAACATTATGCTTTCCATAGTGATTTTGGACATCAGACTAACGAATGTAGGAACCTAAAGAGGCAGGTAGAGATGATAATCGCAAAGGGGAAATTTGTAAGCTATGTTCAAGGTCCGGCGCAAGAGCAGAACCGCCCGACTGAGCAGATCAAGCGTAACCGGCCTGAACAAACGACAGAGTCAGAAGAATTATTCAGAACGCGGTTACGCCAGGCCCAGTTGAAAAGGAGGATTGGCAGTGTGCATGCTTTGCACCAGCAGAACGCGTCCATATTGATAAAGTTTGATAGAATGGACCTACTACGTGTTCAGGTTCCTCATGAAAATCCATTACTAGTCAGTCTGATGGTTGCAGAATGCCTTGTGTGAAGAGTTCTGATTGATCCAGGCAGTAGTGCGAATGTCATGCCCAGCGTGACGTTCGACCGACTTGAGATCGAACCTGAGAAACTCAAACCCACAGGAAATCCATTTTTCGGATTTGATGGGAAACGAGTGGAACCCATTGGAATGGTGGAATTAACAGTACAAGCTGCTGAGCGAGTTTTGACTGAAAGTTTTGTGGTTGTGGAAATTCATCCATCCTACAACCTCTTGATGGGCAGATGATGGATTCACTGGGTTCAGGGCGTTCCATCAACCTTGTACAAGTGATGCGATGCTTGGGTCCATAGCAATTACAGAAACCTCCTCCCAGCAAAGAGGGGGAGGAGGAGCCACCAGTTCTTACCACAGAACCCCTTCATGAAGTGAAGATTGACCATGAGAAGTCGAACCAAACAACAAAAGTGGGAACCAGACTTACTGAAGAGGAAAAACTAAAGTTGACTAATTTCTTGACTCGGAATGCAGATGTATTCGCATGGAGCCATTCAGATATGCCAGGGATAAATCCTTCTGTATCCTGCCATTAACTCAATGTAGACCCGAATGCAAAGCCAGTAAAGCAGAAGCAGAAAAGATTTACTCCAGGACGAAATCAAATTATAGCTGAAGAGATTGATCGGCTGCTTGAAGCTGGATTCATCCGAGAAGTTTAGTACCCGGCCTGGCTCTCCAATGTTGTTGTAGTGCAGAAAAAGAATGGGAAATGACGAGTGTGTATCGACTTCACTAATCTGAATAAAGCTTGCCCAAAGGATAATTTCCCTTTGCCAAGGATTGATCAAATGGTAGATGCCACCACAGGATACGAGCGATTAACCTTTCTGGATGCTTATTCTGGTTATAATCAAATTCCCATAGTTCCAGTTGACGAAGAGAAAACTTCATTTGTTTCTGAACGAGGGACTTATTGCTACAAAGTCATGTCGTTCGGATTAAAAAACGCTGGAGCTACTTATCAGAGGCTGATCAGCAAGATTTTTAAGGGCCAAATGGGAAGCACTGTTGAGGCTTATATTGATGATATGGTGGTCAAGAGTAAGAAGATGAGCAATCATTTAGCGCACCTGCAGGATGTGTTCGATGTGTTGCGCCAATATAGGATGAAGCTTAATCCAGTCAAATGTTCATTCGGCATAAGCTCCGGTCAATTTTTGGGACATATGGTCAATCATAGAGGAATTGAGGCTAGCCCAGCATAGGCAGAAGCCCTGATCAGAAATGTAGAGCCAAAGACAATTAAGGAGGTGCAAGCACTTACAGGTCGAATAGCTGCACTGAGCTGATTTATTTCCAAGCTTTCGGACTGCTGTAAACCTTTCTTTGATACAATTCGAGGGCACGGAAGGCAAACTTGGGGGGATGAACAACGATAGGCGCTAACCAGCCTGAAAGAATATATGCGCAACCCTCTGGTTCTGTCTGCTCCCGAGCCGAATGAGAAGCTCTTTCTGTATCTTGGGGTATCCAGTATAGCGACTAGTGCCGTTCTGATCCGTTGCAAAGAAGGAAAGCAATTCCCGGTGTTTTATGTTAGCAAAACAATGTCTGAGCTGGAAAGAAGATACTCAAGGGCTGAACGAATGATCTTGTCGCTGGTCAACGCAAAAAGGAAGCTTAGACATTATTTCGAATCTCATCCGATCGTCATTTTAACAAGTTTCCCTTTGAGAATGATCCTGCACACACCGGACCTATCGGGGAGAATGACCAAGTGGGCCATTGAATTGAGTTCATTTGATATTGTGTACGAGCCCAGGACGGCAATCAAAGGTCAAGCGGTGGCGAATTTCCTACTTGAATGTGATGCTGAAGATTTGGTGGAGGATTATAATTGTTCCTTATGGAAGCTCTTCATGATGGCTCGTCGAATCAAATGGGGGCAGGGATTGGAATCCAATTGCGAACACCAGAAGGAACTACGCTGAGCCAAGCGATAAGACTTGAGTTCAACGCAACCAACAATGAGGCAGAATACGAGGCGTTGATAGCTGAGCTGAAGTTGGCTAAAGAACTGAAGATCAAGAATCTGATTGCTTATAGTGATTCACAACTAGTCATTCGGCAAGTCACTTGGGAATATGGGGCCAAGGATAAGAACATGGAAGTATACCGAACTGCGGTTCTGCGTGAAGCAAAAGGCTTTGATCAGATCAAGTTCATCCAATTGCCAAGAGAGTATAACGAAGATGCCGACCGCTTGGCTTGTAGTGCATCCAGTTCTGGAGAGACTTTGGCTAGGGTCATCCCGGTTAACGTGCTGGTCCAACCTTCCATTTTTTATGAGCTGCCTAATCCGAGCGCGCTCAACATGTTAATGTTATACCATATGAGCCGAGCTGGATTGATCCGATCATGGCTTTCATACGTAATGGTGCACTCCCCGAGCAGAAGGACGAGGCAAGAAAAATTAGGTTCAACGCGGCAAAGTATGCCATTGTGCGTGATCAGTTGTATAGATGCTCCTTTCTCGGGTCCATATTTGAAGTGTGCTACCCCAACAGAAGCTAGACAGATTATGCGAACCATTCATGAGGGAGTATGCAAAAATCATTCAGGAGGAAGATCTTTAGCACACAAAACAATGACACAAGGGTACTTCTGGCCAAACATGGCACGAGATGTAGAAGAATTATCTAGAAGATGCGATAAATGCCAAAGGTTCGGGTCATTGATACATCAACCACCTGAAGACCTGCACGTAATGGCCACCCCATGGCCTTTCGCGCAGTGGGGGATGGATGTGGTTGGCCCTTTGCTGACTGCAAGATCGCAGAATAAGTAGGTTCTGCTAGCAACTGATTATTTCACCAAATGGGTAGAAGCAGAGCCGTACCCTAGTGTCATCCAAACTCAAGTAAGACGCTTCATCTGGAATAATATTATCTATCGTTTTGGCATACCAAGGTCAATCGTGATGGACAATGGGACCAACCTTGATAGTAAGCAAGTGAAAAAGCTGCTGGAAGAATGTGGAATCAACCAGAAGTTAGCAGCAGTCAGTCATCCCCAGGCTAATGGTCAAGCCGAAATCACAAACAGGACAATATTTGCCTGCATTAAGAAAAAGTTAGAAAATGAAAAAGGAAAATGGTTAGATGAGCTTCCGAACGTCTTGTAGGCTTACAGAACAACTCCAAGACGGTCGACCGGAGATAGCCCATTTGCTATGGCATACGGCACCGAGCCGGTGATACCAGTTGAGCATTTGGTTCCAATTGTAAGGAGCTTGGCGTGGGATCAAGAGCAGAATGATAGAATGCTAAGGTTTAACCTCGATTTGCTGGAGGAAAAAAGGGATATGGCTGTAGTAAGGCTTGCCTCTTATCAACAGACACTTGTGAATAACTATAACAAGAAGGTAAGGCACAGAGACTTCGCTCTTGGCGATCTGGTTCTGAAAAGGAAGGTGGGGATAGTCAAAAAGATGTTCTCCCCATGGGAAGGTCCAAACAGAATAGTAGAGGTCATAGGGAAGGGGGCGTACGTCCTAGAAACTATGGCAGGAAGGGTGGTCAATAAGCCATGGAATGTTACGTCCCTGAAAAAGTACTACCAGTAAAAGTAAAGTTTAATTTCAAACAATATGCGTGCTTTAAATTGCATACTTGCAAGTGTACGAAATTCCCAAGCTTTATAAGAAGTCTTTTCTTTGCTCAAGAATTAATTGACATCCTTCCCATTCAGCAAAGTTAGTGGCAGCTGGCAATTTAAGCTGAACGCCAAATACTTGCTCAAAAGTAAAAATAAAGCCAAGTGGCAAGTGGCGTTCAAGCCGAGCGCCAGGCATTTAGCAAAGTTAGTGGCAGCTGGCACTTTAAACCGAACGCCAAACATTTGCTCAAAAACAAAAATAAAGCCAAGTGGCAAGTGGTGTTCAAGCCGAGCGCCAGGCATTCAGCAAAGTTAGTGGCAGCTGGCACTTTAAGCCGAACGCCAAACATTTGCTCAAAAATAAAAATAAAGCCAAGTGGCAAATGGCGTTCAAGCCGAGCGCCAAGTATTCAGCAAAGTTAGTGGCAGCTGACACTTTAAGCCGAACGCCAAACACTTGCTCAAAAATAAAAATAAAGCCAAGTGGCAAGTGGCGTTCAAGCCGAGCGCCAGGCATTCAGCAAAGTTAGTGGCAGCTGGCACTTTAAGCCGAACGCCAAACACTTGCTCAAAAACAAAAATAAAGCCAAGTGGTAAGTGGCGTTTAAGCCGAGCGCCAGGCACTCAGCAAAGATAGTGGAAGCTGGCACTGCGAGCCGAACGCCGAACGCCGAACGCTTGCTCAAAATAAAGTAAAGCCACTCAAAATAAAATAAAGCCAGAACAGTGACAAGGCCGAACACCAAACACTTGTGAAAATACGCAGCAAAGTTGAAAATGGAAAACTTGAAGAATGGAAGTCATGCTGAGCAAAAACATTGTCATTCATTACAAAAAGGTCCTGAGGTACATAGCTTGATACATGAAGATAAAAATAAAATAAAAAAAAAACCTGCTACAGGATGTTAGTTCTGATGATCTTCTCCAGGCTGTGACCTGTCGTTCTCCCCACCATCATCCTCTGGACCATTGAGCTCTTCTCCATTCTCAGCTGCCCTATCATCCTTAGAAGGGGAGTCAAGATGAATCACTCCCTCAGCAGGCATAGGTCTGTCAGTAACAACTGAGGAGGGAAGAATATTCAGGGGATGAAAGGGTGGAATAATTCCTGAGGATGTAACCTCTATGCACTCGATGAAGATATTCTCAGCCGGGTCGCAGGGTGGGTTTTGATAATTATTTGGGGGCTGGATATCCAGAGAACCATCTAATTCATCTGGACCAGCACAAGAGCTTGATTCGCCTTCAGGGGGAGAACGGTCAATAAAACCGTTGTAATACCCCTACTTTTAAAAGGATAGTCCTGGTATTTAACTATTGTTTAAATTGCTTTTGTTTTTTCTTTAGTTTGATTTACTTATTTTAAATATTTTAAGCTGCATTTGTTTACTTATTTGTTTTAAATTATTGTAATTGTTTTAAATTTATTTGGTTACTTGTTTAGTTTACTTAATTTTAATTGCGTTAATTTGTTTAATTGTTTTGTTTATTTAATTGTTTTATTTTAGGATTTAATTGTTTTAAGTGAAATTAAATTTAATTGGATTTGTTAAATTACATTTAATTAGTTTCAGTAGGTTGTAACGTGACTTTAGTTTGTGGGGTTTATAGTTATCATAAGCAGCCGACAGTGTACAACCTAGGTTTGTCTATGGGCCGTATTATACATGGATTAGGGTTTAAAGTTTAAGGTTATAAATAGGCTTATACGGGGGTTTAGGGTTGAAGGAAAAATAAAATACAACCATGGGTGGAGGCATAGAGGAAACAGAGAGGGAGAGAGCACACAGAGGTTCACCGGAGAGCTTGGGAAGAACCGTCGGTGTAAGGTAAGTTTTATATCTAACTCAATCCCTTGGGTTTCGTGTTCTTTGCATCACTAATTCAGTTCCAGGAAGTAATAACATTAAACTAATATGGTTGCACAATTAGTTATTTCAAAACAGTATATTTCATGCTCGTGTTTTTCTTTCGTCTGTAAATTGTTTTTGTTTGTTCTTGTTTTGGGAGAGTTCAGATTAACGAAGAATGAATTTAAATAACTTTAGAGCACCTTGGGGCTTAGTTTTAATCAGTAGTGGAGTTGGTTTAGAAGAACAAAGCGGTCAAATACTGCCGGAGTGGAAGGAGACGACGCAGGGAAAAAGAACTGGATTACCAAAACGCAGAGCAGGCTCCACATAAAGTGGAGCCGGCTCTAGGTTTAAGTGGAGGCGGCTCCACCATGGTGGAGGCGGCTCCACCATTATTTGGAGGCGGCTCCACTTTATGTGGAGCCGGCTCCTCCCAGTTTTTCATTTTTATTTTGTTTTGTTTTCTGCGATTCTAGTCTACTGTACATGGGTATTTGAAATTTCCAGAATGTTTTGGAAGTGGTTCTAGGGGAAATTAGTGATGTTTAAACTCTTGGTAAACTTGTAGAAAGCATGAAAATTCATAATTTATCATAAGAGGCTAAACAGGGATACAGTCTGAAATTTATTAGGGAAGTTTTCAGGATTATTTTAAATGGGGATGATTAGAATTTTCTTAGCTTTGAATTAGCAGTTTTAACTTCGAATCTTTATGTTTTAAATCATGTAACAATGATCTAAGATTAAACATATCAATTAATATAAATTCGGTTAATGCTTAAAGTTCAATTAGTTTATATTTTTTCAAAGAATTATATAGATCAACTTATGGGATGTTGTAGAGTGGTTATTAGTAAGCATGTTAATTCTATTCTAATTATTACTGTGCTTATTGTGGATTACAAAATGGTTACATTTATTCTCGGATATTTATATTTTTTTGAGTTTTAAGTACTGGATGTATTGAAACAAGCATGCTAATTATAGATTTTTGTTATGGCCTATATTGGGATAGGTTGATATTTATATGTGTTAATGTCAATGATATTACCAATAATTGGATGGATGGTGTATACTTGTTATGGATTGGTTAATTAGTTGATATTGAAATGGTTACTATCTTATACATTATCAACACTGGATGGATGGATTGTATGCACCGGTATGGGACGGTGTCATACTAGGGGGATTAGCTCAAAAGTGCTAAGTCCTACCTACTCTGGATTAAGGAATGGATTAACTAAAATTTAATCCTATTTTTATTTGTAGTGTCAAGGCAACATATAGTTGAGCGGCACAACTATAGATTTTGGAATGGAATTTAATTATATATTTTATGGTGCCACGATGTGAGCCTGAGTCTCAGAGTCGTTGGTTAGGGAGCATATATGCATGGGGATGCATAGTTGGCTACGATGGTTGGAAGTGTACCCTGTTTAGGTCAGGTACACATGCCCACTTTGTGTGCGTTTTAGCATGTTACCTCTACTCAAGTTGAGGGCCTGTAGGCCAGTGAGAGTCCTTTAGTGTGATTACATATATATATACCTGCGGACTATTTAGTTATTGTTGGACTGGTTAGGATATACATGCGTATTGTGTGATACCCCTCGGATCCGAGACACGGGTTGATCAGGCCCAGGCCCAAACCCGAGGGAATATCAAACAATTAAAGTATTTTAAAACGAACACAGATGACAAAAAGAACAATAAAGATAGAATAAAACTGAAAGAAACATTAATTATAAAATCCTCCATGTACAACTGAAAATTGAAACTGAAAATAGATAATACTAGAAACATCGGGGAAAGTCCTACGTAATCCGATGAAAGTGAGACTGTCCTCGACAAGCACGATCAAGTTCTAAGGCTGGAACCGTCCTGTACCTGAAAAGAATAATAAAGGAGTGGGTCAGACCCACGAGTAAGTTCTAATCTAACTGCAATCCATACAGTGACCCGATACGCAGATACACCGTAGACACCTCACAATATCTATCTAGTCCATACGTATAAATATATCCACACTAAGGGACATTCACTAGTCTATAATAGGGGTCTCAACCTGAATAGAAGGCAACATGCGAATACGCACCCAAATGTGGGCATGAGTACCTAGACCTAACAGGGTACACCTCAACCTATTAGAACCAGCTACGCATCCACTGCATATACGCACCCTAACCAACGAGTCTGAGACTCAAGCTCAACTCGTGGTACCATAAACATATATATAAAGTCCGTCCAAATCCAGGGTATGCAGTTCAACTATTTATTAAACTGTCATACAATAAACCAACTTGTTAGTCATTCAACTTATTCAGTTGATATGACTTAACTACCATCCGTTAATCCAGGAAGCCATCCAACTTGTTTACAGCTGATCTGACTTAGTCACAATTAGGATTCAATATCTTTCAATCCATTCCATTAATCCATTAGGTTTGGTTTATGCGTTTTGAGCTAAACCGTCCCTAGTATGTCACCGTCCCATACCGGTACATACAATCCTCCATATCCATGTAAATTACAACATATATAACAGTTCAATAATTTACAGACCAAAAACCACCATCCAATAATTGCAGAAGGAATCTTAACAATCTAGCAAATAAAACCCAGTAGTAATCCATGTAATTGCATCAAAGAATAAACTATTCTAACAATTAACATC